TAAAGGTTTCCTAAGCTGAACTGAATGCTGGTATTAGTAACATTCATTTCATGGAAGTTTGCAGAGTTCCCCTTTGGACAGATATCACTCTCCCCAGAGAAAGGAGAAATTGTGATGGTATTCTTAGAATCATACTGTGGTAAGTTGTCACTGATTCCACCATCGACATAACGCTGTAAAGAACAATAAAAAAGGGAGAGTTTAATGCCAAACAAACGATTCCTACAAAAATGAAACTCCCTGTGTTAGTTAAACAGCACCTAAGATTTTAAAATAGACCATAAAATCGGTGTGTGTCTGCATATGAGCCAAGGCCAATTTTTTAACATTTTTATAAATACAGTAAAACCTCTGCTATCTGGCACTTAACTAGCTGGAAAACTTTAGAAACCGGCAAATTTCCTAGGCGCTTGGTGCGGCTGGGCGGCGCTTTGATCCGGATGAACGGGGGCTGGTCATGGCTGCGCTGGTCGTGACCGTGCAGTGCGGCACTTTGATCTGGCTGGCACGAGGCTGGGCTGGACAGCTGGTGACCCCTGCGACGCGGGGCTCGCAGCTCCAAATGGTTGCATACCACTGTGCTTGACCTTTCTTGACCCTCAGATAACCGGACTTTTTAGATAACCGGAACGCTCTAATCCCCGAGTGTGTCAGATAACAAGGGTTTTACTGTATATGCGTTAAAACTGCAGTAAGGAAGGAAGCATATTTCCTAATTCTTTGAAAAACTAGAATACTGGTAGTAAATTTGCTCAACATTTTGTAATGAAGAAGAAATTGCTTCATTCTTTGGATCATAACTCTGCTCCCGGCATGGAAAGAGCAGGCTTCACTTCACCAGAACAGGACACAATCCAAGAATTACCCAGGACTTTCTCCCACAAAAAACATGAGATGAAATCATCTTTTCAAAAAAGAAATTCTAAATATTGGACACTCAAACTGAGTTCCTTGGCAATAAAGTAATTGCTTAGATAATTATAAAAGATGTTAGAAAAAATTATTTGAGAATATTATAAACAAAAGTTCTACAAACATCTGGAAAGGAAAAAGTTGCAAGTAAATGTTAATACTCTGGAAACCTTTAACAGAAAATTACACCATTTTGTGATCTAGTCATTTTCAAAATTTGAATTTAGACATGGTTTCTGGTTCTACTCCTGATCCCACCAAGTCCAACTGCCAGTTTTGGTATTTTGGCAAATCACTGCACATCATACTTAGCCATGTCCTACATATGTAATGTGTTATAATCTTGGAGTTTAATATATTACTCACAAAGGATGAAGCACATTCACGCTAACATGCTGTAAAAACCGTAACTTCATATTTCCTGATGTACATTTTTAGAAAACATAACTAATGCTGCAGATTGGCAAATAGTGTTGCAATATTAAAAAATGTTCTCAGAAATTTTGTTTAGGACATACTGCTTATTGGTTTGGAATGTCAGGTATACGTGATGCTGCTAAATTCTTCTGAGCCAGATTACAATACTTATGGCCTTTAAAAATCTGGCAGCCTGCTGTGTTTAAGCTTCACACTAATTAAATTTAAAAGCTCTGCCAAGACCACTCAAGACCAAGTTTAACATATTCAAGACAAATTACTATAAAATGCACCACTAAGCCTTCTTAAAAGATTCCTATGCAATAGCTCATAAAATAAATCATTTGGGAATTTCTACAATATCCCATATTTGATAGGATGTAAACCCCCTTCCCCCCAAAAAAACCCAGCTTTTCAAGATGTGAAAATTCTCCTCATGCCTACCCAGAATTCTAGAAGGAGGTCTTGCTTGATTACCAATCGCCTTCCCACAAAACAGCACATTCACAAAGTTTCAGGCAAAGAGAAATTTCTGTACCATGAATGTGTTTAATGAAGCTTATATAGTAACAGTCTTAAAGCCTCAGGTCCAACACTGGAAAACACTTAGGGATGTGCATAAGTATCTGTAGAATCAGGTTCTTAATTATAAAATCTTTGACTTCACAAATTAGCTAACACAAATTAGCAAGTAAAGTCTCCTCTTCCTGGCAGAAACACAGTTCCTATTTCTCTTCTCTATATGGAATGAAATGTCAGTTTCCAAAATAGTTGGAGTCCTCAAGGAAGTTTCCATCTGGATACAGGCACATTTAATTTTTCATTTCATATTCCCTACAAACAAGAATCCATGAGCCTGTTATAGAATCTTTATTGGGCAGGAGAGGTCAAAAGGAGGCAGACCCCATTTAATACAGGAAGGATATTCAAAGAATCAATACTTCTGTGTTTTTGTAGTCTGAACTAAGCCCTTTCAGATAATGTTATTGTACAACCAACGAGAAGTGAATAGCCAGATTAACCTGGATCCACCTAAACCTTGGATCCAGTCCAATGTCCTATTTTATAACACTTTGCTCCAGCTTAAAGAGCTAAGGATATAGGAAAGCTTTAGAAACGTGCAAAAGGCAGCTTTTAAAAATGCTTTTGAGTCAACTTGAACATTGCTGCTCTCTGCTTTTATTTAAACATGAAGGAGAGACAATGTTTTAACAGATGTTATCTGCTATCATTCAGCAACTCCTAAGGAACAACATTTGCAAGGCAATATATTTCAAGCAAAATACAGGACTATGTAGCACTTTAAAGACTAACAAGATGGTTTATTAGATGATGAGCTTTCGTGGGCCAGACCCACTTCCTCAGATCAAATAGTGGAAGAAAATAGTCACAACCATATATACCAAAGGATATGTGTTCTTTTTTTTAATTGTATCCTTTGGTATATATGGTTGTGACTATTTTCTTCCACTATTTGATCTGAGGAAGTGGGTCTGGCCCACGAAAGCTCATCATCTAATAAACCATCTTGTTAAGTCTTTAAAGTGCTACATAGTCCTGCATTTTGATATTTCATGACACAGAATAACTAGCGTCAGTCATTATCAGCTTCCTTATCTACCACTGAAAGTAGTGCCTATTGACTGTTTAGGCGTAGTTTTAATGCAGTTAAATTGTTTTTCCTTAATTCTGATTCAAGAGAGTATTTAGACAGAAAATTGTGATTTATTTCACAGTGATGTTTCAAGTTGCTGGTTTTGTAGTGAATGCTGCTTTGAGACTAGGGCACACTGTTTGCTACTTTTAGCAATGAATCAAAATCTTCCCCTCGTTCTCGTTTAAAACTTTGGTTTTGTTCCTTATATTTGCATTTCTTAACAATTTGAAGATGTCATTGTCATTTACAAAATTAATGTAGGGTTATCACTTAAATCTAAAAATGTTCAAATGTGATTTGTGAATAGTAAACACCATCTGAATTCTGCAGAATGCAGAGAGATTGCGGGCACGAAGTCTGCACAACACAATGTCTGAATACAGAATGATGCCGTTTCCTGATGTAATGTGCATGTGCAAGTTTCTCTTTTTATCAGTCTCATTCTCACGCTGTCTGGTTCACTGGGGCTTAAACTCTCCTGAAATATTTCCTGGAGCCCCACAAGTCCACCCACACTGTTCTCCAACTAAAAGACATTTGCATGGGAGGTGGAGCACACAGCTTCTCACCTGCAGTAGAATGGTGGTTCTCTGGACTTCTGCCCTATGAGGAGGAGGTACTGTGTGTGAAGCCCCAAGATCCTTTTCCCTGGAGGGGAGAAGCCCCTAACTTTACCCCCACTGCAGGACAGAAGCCCCGAGCATTCCCCTATTCCCCCGCCTCTGCAATCTAGTAGGCAGAGAATGGGGTAGGAGCATGGAGCTTCTTTGTGACTTTAACTGTAAAATCTACCGCCTGCAATATAGGTGGTGTCACATATACTGATAATACAGAGCATGCAGCTTCTGCAATACAACACAGCCAGGGAAAAATAAATCCACAGAATGTAGCACTTTAAAGACTAACAAGATGGTTTATTAGATTATGAGCTTTCGTGGGCCAGACCCACTTCCTCAGATCAAATAGTGGAAGAAAATTGTCACCACCATACATACCAAAGGATACACTCCTTGGTGTATATGGTTGTGACTATTTTCTTCCATTATTTGATCTGAGGAAGTGGGTCTGGCCCACGAAAGCTCATCATCTAATAAACCATCTTGTTAGTCTTTAAAGTGCTACATAGTCCTGTATTTTGTTTCAGCTACACCAAACTAACACGGCTACATTTCTATCATATATTTCAAGGGCATTCTTAGAAATGAGAGACATCCCAATTAAAGCTTTTGAACCAAGTGTGCAATGAACCACTATTTGGAATGTCTTCAGTTTTCTTTCAACATTTTACTCTCTTCCTTCTCCCTGTTTTTACTAAAAAAGGCTAATGAAAGCAAAACAACCAAGTTGATGCCACATTATGGTGTAACACCAAAAATGTTAAGTTAGTAGGATTAACTTCCCCCAATGCATAGACATCCCTGACCTCTTTGTGTTAAATCATAATGTAGCAATAAATTGTTTGGTTTCCAACGTCCCTTTTTACAAAACAAAACAAAACAAATCAGGACAGTGACAGACAAGACAACTTGCTTTGATGTAAAGGACAGTCATTCAATAATAGGAGATTTCTAAATTCAAAGGATAATTTTGAAATATGTGCCTTTAAAAGCAGCCTTGTAAACATTACTCTTTGAGATGTGCTGAAAGAGAACAATTAACAGTTCACCTTTGAAACAATCTCTCCATACTGCAGTTAAATTGAAAATGCTGTATCCTGTTTAAATATGCAACTTTACATTTGCATTAAATAACTTATTTGCATTCATGTTACTGCATATTAAGTATCTCCGTTGTGAAATATTTATAAGTGCAATGTGGTCTGTTATTAGGATACATATTTTCTGACAAGTCTTTAAAAGCCCAGCCATCCACCCTTACTCACATGGATGGTCACAATGGCTATGTCTGCACTAAATATTTTTCTTGAGCTTTTCTACAATTGCTAAGTGCTAGTTTAAATAAGACTGCGTTTTAGCAAGCATGACACCTAGCTTTGCTTAGAAATTTAAGGAGGAAAAACTGCTCTAAACCAGCCACTCACTATCTTCCCTTTCATATCTTCTTACATATAAACTACTTTACTATATGCAAAAGTTAAAGCCGGATAACTTCAGAACCATGAACTCATTTTAGTAGAGTAGCCAAAAATGTGTTTGTGCATTACCTTTCAAAATTTCTACATGGTTATCAAGCTTTAGGCATTTATCAGGAAAACAATGCAGACTTACCACACCTCTGAATGATGGTGGAATTAGGCCACAATAAATAGGGACAAACGAGCTACAAATTAAAGCCTATGGAGAAATGAGATCATATATGTAAGTTACACAGCAAATTTCTCTAGTACTGAAAACTACGGTATAATAACAATACACTCATGTCTCCATTTAATGTTAAAGCTGGTGATAATATTAAAGGGACATTGTCAACTTTATTTCAAGTAGATTTCTACCACTCAGTTTTTGAATTACTTTAAAAATATTGCTGTCCCTTCCCACTCTCCAGAGTACATATGGTGATTTGCAGTTCTGCAATCATTTGACTTTTTTTTAAATGGGTTTCTCTTATTGCTCTATGAAAATACCAAACTAGTGGAAACTATTGGCTATCCCAGAGGCAGTGCGGTCAAATGCATAAACTAAACTAAAAAAAGAAAATAATTGAAATTAGAAGAGGGAAAGTATTATTTTAACAATAGGAGGTGAACAGTTTCCAGGCAGAAATGGTTTTTTTAAGTGTTCCTCTAAGTAAAATGAATGTAGGTCTCCAGATAAACCCTTTGTACCCTACTATTTATCAAAAGATGTCTTTACAAACCAGAAAGCAAAAAATTAATGATTCCATCTCCACAAAGTTATTCTGAGTATAATAGATATATTAGATACATATCCAAACAATTATAGTCATTACACACTTGTTCTTTCATTATGGAGGAAATAAAGAGCTCAAAAATAGCAGTATTCTTAGTTGGTTTTCAGTATACTTAGCTGACTTTCAGTTTTTACAAACAGTTGCATCTTGACTGGATATGCAGAGTTTTCCAGCAAATATTCATTCTACAATATTAATCTCTCAAAAGAGAACATGTATGATATTTTTTATATTTAGTTTCCCCAATAAACACTTCCTCAAGAATACACTTCATGACAAATCTGAGGCTACCATTCCTTTTTTGAGGTTACTCCATGATTATTCCACAGCTAAGCACAATGAAATTCCAAGGATCCATCTACACTTGGATTTAAAACTTGCAAAGCTAAATTGTTGCAACTTTTAAAAGATTCCATAATGAAGATCAGATATGCATACCTGAACAATTTCTTCTTTAGAGTTAAAATTAGATACCAACACGTTTTTGCCATCTGATACTCTGGTCAGTGAAATACACAGCTTGCCTGATGACAACTTGTGAGTGTTTTCTGGAAGGTTTTTGAATAGTCCATCTCTTATTATCTTAATCACGTTAAAAGAAGGATGAAGAGGGCCAAGACTTCGCTTTCTGGCTTCTTTGGCTAACACCAGAACATCTGCACAGGCTTCAGCTGAAAAACAGAGTATGCTTCTTTTGAGACCAGACACAATTTCTATAGAGACTAAAAGCATTAAGAGTAATTCCCCAGTGACAGTGTCTCAAGTGTCTAGATTTTTTTTCATGCTTGTTAAGAGTGCTACCACAAAAATTTTTTTATAAAGATACAGGGATAAAACTAAAAGAGTTAGGGTTAGGGTTAGGGTTAAATAGTAATAAGTCTAAAATTTCAAGTTCAAGTTACTAAGCCTCTAATTTTGAATACTGCCACTAGATTATTTAAATATGTTATTGTTTACTGTAGTACAAGATGAATTTTAAACATATGATTTATATCAAAAGCATTCATGAATATTAGGATTCCTCATCATGTCTAGTTTACAACAACTAGGAAATCTACAATTGAGTGTTTTCTAATACTAGTATGGAAATAAAGTTTATAACATACATGGCACACACATTTTAAAGTGATTGTTCCACAACATAAATGAAGATACCAGAAAATCTAGGGTTCACCTCAACCAGCTAATACTTATTGAATCGTTGAATCATAGAATACCAGGACTGGAAGGGACCTCAAGAGGTCATTGAGTCCAGTCCTCTGCCCTCATAGCAGGACCAAATACTGTCTAGACCATCCCTGATAGACATTTATCTAACCTACTCTTAAATATCTCCAGAGATGGAGATTCCACAGCCTCCCTGGGCAATTTATTCCAGTGTTTGACTACCCTGACAGTTAGGAACTTTTTCCTAATGTCCAACCTAAACCTCCCTTGCTGCAGTTTAAGCCCATTGCTTCTTGTTCTAGCCTCAGAGGCCAAGATGAACAAGTTTTCTCCCTCCTCTTTATGACACCCTTTTAGATACCTGAAATACATCTTGCCTTCTGTAATACTGGGGGTTTAAAGGCATGTTCACAGACATTTATTTTTGTTAACATATTGTCAGTGATGGAAGCTAATTCCAGAGTCTGGGCTCTTCCATTGAGGGAATTCCTGCCATCAGAAGTTTATTAGTTCAGGCCCCGAGATCCCAACTGTAACCAGAGCACACAGGAAGACTACCTAAGCCCTAAATCATATATGGTTTTATAAACGAGACAGTAACATGAACAGGACCCAGAAGTAATTAGCTAGTAAAAACACAAGTGCCACACACTCCCTGCAATTACCACGATCAACAGAAAGCAATTATATTTCTGCATCCTGCACCGGTTCTGGAATATCACATTTAGTGAATAGGAGGGCTATGTTACTAACTCTGAATCAAGATGACATAGAATCATAGGATTGGAAGAAACCTCAGGAGGTCATCAAGTCCAACCCACTGCTCAAGAAGGAAAAAACCCCAACATAACATCCCAGCCAGGGTTTTGTCGAGCTGGGACTTAAAAACCTCTTAGGGATGGAGATTCCACCATCTCCCTACGAAACCCACTCCGGTACTTCACCACCCACTTAGTAAAATAGTTTTTCCTAATATCCAACCTAGACCTCCTCCACTGCCACTTGAGACCATTGCTCCTTATTCTGTCATCTGTCACCACTGAGAACAACCTCTCTCCATCCTCTTTAGAAACCCCTTTCAGGTAGTTAAAGGCTGCTATCAAATCCCCCCTCACTCACCTCTTTTGTAGACTAAATATAAGCCCAAATCCCTCAGCCTCTCCTCTTAAGTCATGTATTCCAATCCCTTAATCATTTTTATTGCCCTCCACTAGACTTTTTCCAATGTATCCACATCTTTTCTGTAACAAGGGGCCCAGAATTAGAAGCAAAACTCCAGACATGGCCTCACCAGTGCAAAATAAACGGAAATAATCACTTATCTAGATCTGCTGGCAATGCCCTTCCTAATGCACCTTAATATGCCATTAGCCTTCTTGGCTACAAGAGCACACTGTTGATTCATATCCAGCTTCTCATCCACTGTAATCCCCGGGTTCTTTTCCACTGAACTTCTACTTAGCAAGTTGGACCCCAGCCTGTAACAGTGCTTGGGATTCTTCCGTCCCAACTGCAAGACTCTGCACTTGTCCTTGTTGACCTCATCAGATTTCTTTTGGCCCAAACCAACCAATTTGTCTAGGTCACTCTAGATCCTATCCTTACCCTCCAACATATCTATGTCTCCCCCAGCTTAGCGTCATCTGCAAACTTGCTGGGGGTGCAATCCATCCCCTCATCCAAGTTATTAATAAAGATATTGAACAAAACTGGCCCCAGAACCGATCCCTGGGGCACTCCATTTGACACTGACCGCCAACCAGTCAGAACCAGTTACAGTAAACTTCTGATAATCTGGCACCTTTAGGACCCAGGGGGTGCCGGATTATCAGATATGCTGGACTATTGGAAGTGGGGGCTATGAGGGGTCTGGGGTGGGGTGGGGATGCCACCCCAGACCCCTCATAGCCCCCCCCTTTCTGATAGTCTGGCTCTGCCCCAGACGTTCAGTTCCAGCAACAGCAGAATCCGGGATGCCTGCGGCAGAGCAGCTGGGGTGCTGCCGGGTTGGTCCCGCAGCCCCGAGGAGCAGCGCTACGGGACCAACCCGGCAGCACCCCAGCTACTCTGCCTCCGGGGAAGCCGGGGGCAGAGCAGCTCCAATTGTCCGGCAGTCCAGAGCACTACCGGGTTCCCGATCGTGCCGGACCATCAGAAGTGCCGGAGCATTGGATGCCGGACCAGTGGAGTTTTACTGTACCTTGTCATAGAAGGCAATCAGGTTGGTCAGACATGACTTGCACTTGGAGAATCCATTTTGACTATTCCTGATCAATTTCCTCTCTTCCAAGTGCTTCATAATGGATTCCTTGAGAATCCCCTCCATGATTTTTCCAGGGACTGAGGTAAGGCTGACTTTTCTGTAGTTCCCTGGATTGTCCTTCCATTTTTTAAGATGGGCACTACATTTGCCTTTTTCCAATCAACATCCTTAGATTTAAGCAGAATTCAAAATATGGTATTTAAAAACCATAAATATTGTCACCTTGTAATAGAACGTTGGTAGCCAATATTAGCGTCCTACTATGAATCTCTGAATTAGGCATGTTAAACAGTTAACCATCCCTTGGCAGTGAACTCCAACAGCAACCAGCTGTGCTGGGCTGGAGCAACCCTGGCCACAAAGGGAATGGCAGCAGGATCTCATGGCCATGGCAGGACCTAAGTTAAAATGGCTAATGGCTATTGTTTAAATTGGTTAACCATTTAAACATCTCTGTTAAATGTAATTTGAAATTGTCTGCTTTATAGCCTTATGTTTTTATTGCTTATAATTAAGGCTAAGATTGTGTGTTTGACTTTTTTTCAGTGCAAATCAGAGACAAGTCACAAACAAAAATTCACAAAAGCCTGTGATTTGTTCCTGATTTTCAAATAAAATAAAAGGTCTGTGACAAAATGGAGAGGGGTATACGCCCTGCTGCAGAAATGGGAGCTCTAGCCCCAGGACAGAAAATGTCATAGAGGTCACACAAGTTGGGAAATCTGTGACTTCCATGACATAATCATAACTAGGGAGGTAAATGGTTAATTGGTAAATCTCACCTTTAACAGGCGAGGCTTATTGGTTCCAGTGAACAGGTGAGGGCTGGAGCAGCTCCCCGCCCACCCTGGGCAGGGGGCTGCTCCAGCAACATGGGGCCCACTGGAGCAGCCCCTGTCTGTGGTGGGCATGGCTGGCCCTTCCTTCCCACCACAGGTTACACACTGATTCCCCAAGAGTGGGGCCAGAGCCCCTGCTGGCCCCACTCCCAGGGAGGTGGTTTTGCTGCAGCAGCTTTATATTGCAGAGCTCACAGCTTATGTAACTGCTATGGTTTTTAGCAGTTACATAATTACATTTTCGAATGAATTTTTACATCCCTAATCATACCTTTACTTATCTCTACCAACAGACAACCTGCTGCAAAGCTGTTGTTTCCATACCCAATCAGAGCACAAAGGAGCAATTCTCATCTTATACCACATTCAAGAGACTAGCATCTGAACTGCGTCTTTCATATCTGATTTGTTCTAAGATGGTGTATTAACTAGAGACATGTATATATTAGGGAAATGTAGGAGAAATTCCCATCAGTGAGAAAAGCAAGTGCACAGACCTGATTGACAGCTACTTCTCTCTAGTATCTTCAAGCCGATATTTGTCAAGAAGGTATACTGTTTTACAGAAAGACTTATTACCACTCCTTGAATTTTTGCTTTCATTTGTCTTGCCATTTCATCCTTATTTCAGTCATTGCACACAATAATTTATAGCATAGTGAAATGGGAACGCATTTAGCTGTACGAGATAGCTCAAACCATGGCAGGAAAGACTATATTTACAAACACATCAGCCCAACAGATTCAAAACTGGTTAGAAATTACCCTGGATGGCATCCCATTCAGATACACCATTCTCAAATTATGGTAAATATTTAAAGTTCTTCTCCTGAATCTTTTGTCTGTCATTTACAAATGGCTGAAGGTAGGGATGTTAAATTTCAATTAATTAACTGAAGTCGATGGGATTTCCATCGACTATTCAATTAGTTGATAAGGACTAAAGTGCATTCCACCGATGAAATGTACGAGAGCCCCACACTGAGGCCGGGGGCCAGCAGGGAGACCCCCTCTGACTCTGAGCTCTATGCTGGCGCTTCCACTTTGAAATGTACAAGAGCCCCAGCAGGGGCTCTAGTGCATCTCACAGATTGAAACTCCACATGGAACCCAGAGCCAGAGGGGAGTCTTGTACATTTCAAAGTTGGAACGCTGCCACTGAGCCCCTGCCCTCTCCCACAGAGCTGGAGCTGAGGGAAATGATTTTTAAGCCGGCTCTCCCCAGCACCGTCTTCCTCTCCCCCCTCTTGCTACCTCTTTCTGATAGATGCAGCAGAGGGTGGGGGGACTGACTCGTCGACTACTGTGTCAACTCTGATAAGCTTTTGCTTATCGGATAGTCGACTAGTCAATTAGTTGCTTACACCCCTAGTTTAAGGAGCTTCCCAGGGCTAATCAGGCA